GGGCGGGTCCTGAGCTTCTGATCCAGCTCCCCGCCTCAGGACACCAAGATGCCTGGCGAACAGCAGGCAGAGGAGGAGGAGGAGGAAGAGATGCAGGAGGAGATGGTGCTGCTGGTGAAGAGTGAGGAGGATGAGGGTGAGGAGAAGTATGAAGTGGTGAAACTCAAGATCCCCATGGACAACAAGGAGGTATGTGTCACACACACCCTGGGGCCCACTGTCCTCAAACCTGGTCCAGGCCCAGCCTCCCTCAGATAGAAGCCAGGGATCTTGCCCCTACTTTTCCCAGAATCTCAGATCTAGAACCTCAGGGTTGGCCCATACTTCTGCCCCACTGCCTGGGCTTCCATCATACAGTCACGCCTACTGTGCCAGGCTTCCTGCTGGGTGCAGGAGATTAAACTCCGTCCTTGGATCCCCCATGGAGCTTGATGTTAGACTGAAGGGTAACCACACAGTTAGAATCTCGCGTGATGGTTGCAGGTACAGGGAGATGATGAAGCCTAGAAGTGGGAACTTAGATTTAGAGGTGGGGGAAAGGACAGGTTAGTTCAACAGCAACAGTAACAATAGCTAACCCTTGCCTAGTATTTTCTATGTGCCAGGCCCTGTTCTAAGCACCTCGATTCTATGATGTTGGAGCATTTATTCCATTTTACAAATGAGGAGACTGAGGCCCAGGGCAGTTTGGTAACTGGCCACAGGTCTCAAAGTTAGTAAAAGGATGGCTTATGTGAGACCAGTAGGAGTCTGGGGGCGGAAGTGGGGTGATGGACCCAGGCAGAGGAAATAGCCTTTTTATTATTATTGCTGTTATTGTTTGAGACAAGGTCTCATTTAGTCACCCAGGCTGGAGTGCAGTACAGCTCACTGCAGCTTTGACTTCCCGGGCTCAGGTGATCCTCCTCCTGAGCCTCTCCAGTAGCTGGGACTACAGGCATGCACCACTACACCTGGCTAATTTTTTTTGTTTTGTTTTGAGACAGAGTTTCACTCTGTCGCCCAGGCTGGAGTGCAGTGGTGCAATCTTGGCTCACTGCAACCTCCACCTCAAGTGATTCTCCTGCCTCGGCCTCCCAAGTAGCTGGGATTACAGGCATGTGCCACCAACGCCTGGCTAATTTTTTGTATTTTTAGTAGAGTTGGGGTTTTGCCATGTTGGCCAGACTGGTCTCAAACTCCTGAGCTCAGGTGATCCTCCCACCTCAGCTAGGTGTGAGCCACCACATCCAGCCAGAAACGGCCCTTGTAGAGGCTCAGACGAGTGAGTAGTGCACTGCCCCAGTGAGGGTGAGTGGTTTGGTCATGCAGTAGTGTGGATGATGGGGGGTGGTTGGCAGGCCACACAGGGAGTCTACCTTTTATTCTCAGGGTATTTGAAGGTTTTGAGATCAGAATATGAGTTAAATTTCCCCTCTGGAGACGCTAACTGCCACCAGATATGTTTCCACTTGTCAGAACCCCAGAAGACTCTGTCTGCCCACAGCCGGAGCAGCCCTGAGTCCCAGCAGAGGGCTTGGCTCCAGGGGACTCAGTTTGCAGGGGCCCGGGCTCTGATTCTTCCTGCCCAGGAGCCAGTTCCCAGGGAAAGAATGCTCTGCTGCCCCCTAGTGGGCGTGGTGGGTGCTGGGGGAGGGGACAAGCTCCTCAGGCCTCCTCTTCCAGTCTAATAACTATCTGGTTCTGTTTGTTGCGGGCCCCCTTGGCCCATTATCCAGCTCTGCCTGCCTCTTCCGGCCCTGCGATTGCCTGATCTCCACCTTTGGCCTCTAAGTTACAAACACAGGCTCCAGAGCTTAGGGTGGACTTCCAGCTCCATCACTTACCCACTGTGTGACCTTGGGCAAGTTTCCTAACTGCTTCATGCCTCAGTTTCCTCATTTGTAAAAGGGAAATTATAACAGCACCTACATCTTGGAGTTGTGAGGAATGAATGAGTCAACACATGCACAGAGTTAGAACTGTGTCTGGCACATAATAAACATGGAGATAGTTGCTGTTACATTTATTCTTCTCCCCAAAGCTCGGGACCTTGGGCAAGGTCATCCTTCTGGAGATTTTTCAGCTTTTTTTTTTTTTTTAAACGGAGTCTCACTCTGTCGCCCAGGCTGGAGTGCGGTGGTGCAATCTTGGGTCACTGCAACTTCCACCTACCGAGTTCAAGCAATTCTCCTGCCTCAGCCTCCTGAGTAGCTGGGATTACAGGTGCAAGCTACCATGCCCAGCTAATTTTTGTATTTTTAGTAGAGATGGGGTTTCACCATATTGGTCAGGCTGGTCTTGAACTCCTGACCTCGTGATCCGCCCACCTCAGCCTCCCAAAGTGCTGGGATTACAGGCGTGAGCCACCACGCCTTGTTCAACTCATTTTTATCAAAGGCCTGGGCTGAACCATGAGAACTGGGGTTGATCAGGGAAGTGAATGTGGGGGCACAGAGGATTGAAGGCAAACGACTCAAGGCAGTGGGGAAGGCTTCCCAGAGCAGATAATTTCTGACTTGGGCCTTGAAGGCTTTGTGGGGGTTTGGCACATGGAGGAGGGTGAAGGGCATTCCAGGAGGAGGAAACAGCAAAAGCAAAGACTCAGAGGAAATGAGACTGGAAAGGCAGTTGGGGGACAGAGGGGCCTTGAAAGCTAGGGCAGGACGTACTATGCTAGGTTCTGTGGCAACATCAGAGGCCTTAAATCATGGGAAGAGCCAGACGTGGTGGCTCACGCCTGTAATCCCAGGACTTTAGAAAGCCAAGGCGAGAGCATCACTTGAGCCTAGGAGTTCGAGACCTCCCTGGGCAACAAAGGGAGACCTCATCTCTACAAAAATTTTTTTTTAACTAGCTGGGCATGGTGGCTGTAGTCCTAGCTACTTTGAAGGCTGAATGAGCCCAGGAGTTCAAGGCTGCAGTGAGCCATGACTGCACCACTGTACTCCAGCCTGGGCAACAGAGAGAGACCCTGTGTCAAAAAACAAAAACAGGCCAGGCATGGTGGCTCATGTGTGTAATCCCAGCACTTTGGGAGGCTAAGGTCAGGAATTTGAGACCAGCCTGGCCAACATGGCGAAACCCCATCTCTACTAAAAATACAAAAATTAGCCGGGTGTGGTGGCATGTGCCTGCAATCCCAGCTACTCGGGAGGCTGAGGCAGGAGAATCACTTGAATCCAGGACGTGGAGATTGCAGTGAGCTGAGATTGCGCACTGTACTCCAGCCTGGGCAATAGAGCAAGATTCTGTCTAAAAAAAATCAGAGGAGGAACATGATTGGATTTTCTGTTTAGAAGAATTATTGGCTGCTATAGGGAGACCAGGCCAGGTAGGGCCTGCTCTAAGGTAGTAACAGCAATGACGAGGAAAAGGTGCCATTTAGGAACTTGGCTAGAGCCAAGGGGTATGTGCAGTGAAGGTTTGGCATGGCTACTCATAAAAGGCACATAGGGCCAGATTGTTAATGGTATCACGCAGTGGTTCTAACTCCACCATTGACCAGCTTTTCTTTGGCTTTCACATCTGTAAAATGGGGTAATAGAAAAAGACCCTTGAATGCCCGTCTGAGAAGTGTCATCAGGGTGACTGGGTTTGGAGGAGATGGGTGAAATCGAGGATTATGCACACATATCCCATGAACTGTTACACGGTTCCCAGAAGAGCGCTCGATCGTCAGCTTGCTGTGGGCCTTCCTGAGCCTCATTTCTCCATCTATGAAATGGTGACCTCGAAAGCGCCTTCCAGTGGTGACATTCAGTGAGTCCTAGCTATTGCCAGTCCTGTGGCCAGTCACTGTCCAGAAAAGCCTTAATTACGCTGCATGCAGGGGCTGGAGTATTCTCCCTCTGCCATCAAAACCCAATCTATCTTTTAGAAAGATTTTCTCAGAGGGCTCCATGCACATACAAACCTATCTTTCCCTGGCTTGAACCCTTGAGTAGTTTTCTGCTTCCCTCAGGGTGAGGTATCAGCTGCTAAACTTGGCATTCAAAGCTCTTCACCATCAGACCTCATGCCATTCTGGCTTCATCCCCTCGACACCTATCCCATCCCTCCTTGTGGTCTCAGCCTGCAAAGCCCTCTTCACCTTTGCTCCCTGCTTTCTCCAGGAGTAGCTCTTTTCTCTTCTAGATCAGTTTCTTAATTTTTAACATGCGTACAGATCACCCAGGGGTCTTGTTAAAATGAGGATTTTAATTCAGTAAAATCTGCAGTGGGATTTGAGATTCTGCATTTCTAAAAAGTTCCCAGTGATGCTGATGTTGCTGGTCTGTGGACCTATATCCTCCAGCAAGGAACCAGAGGACAGGGATTGTGTTTAACAGTTTGTACCAAAAAGAAGGAAGACTGTGACCACAAAAAGGGGCCACGGGAAAGAGACAAGCTGCATAAGTGGCCTCAAACTCTAGTCAGTGAGATTAGAATTGCATCATGGAGGCTAGGCACGATGGCTCTTGCCTGTAATCCCAGCACTTTTGGAGGCCGAGGCAGGAGGACTGATTGAGCTCAGGAGTTTGAGACCAGCCTGGGCAACATGGCAAAACCCCGTCTCTACTAAAATACAAAAATTAGTCAGGTGTGGTGGCATGCCCCTGTAGCCCCAGCTATTTGGGGGGTTGAGTCAGGAGGATTGCTTAAGCCTGGGAGGTCAAGGCTGCAGTGAGCCCAAGACTGCAGTGAGCCATGATCATGCCACTGCATCCAGCCTGGGTGACACAGTGAGACCTTTTCTCAAAAAAGAGAGAATTAAAAAAGGATTGCATAATGGTTAAGAGAATAGGTGTTCTGGAAAATCAGTAACTTCAGTTCAAACCCTGGCTCTGCCATTTATTAGCTGTATAGCCTTGTGTACTCACTTAACTTCTGAGTCTTATTTCCTTATATATAAAACAGGGCTAAGGCACCTAACTGAAGTCATGGTGAGAATTTAGAAAGAGAGTACTGGTAAAAAGCACTTGGCACAGTTCCTGGCACATGGTGAGTGCCCAACAAGTGGGAGTTATTGTATTAATTAGAGAAATAATGGCTAAGGAAGAAACTGGGATGTTTGCCCTGGTTAAAAAAACATTTAAGCAGGAAGACAAAAATCACTAACTTCTAATACCTGGATTATTATATTATTACACTACATTGTATATCCATAGTAACCTCTTGTTATAGTGCAAATACCATTTATTCTAATTTTTAAATCTAATAGTTGTAGAATTTAAGACACACTTGGGTCATTAATGATCACCTAGTCTGGTATTTGCCAAGTTTCGGTCACATGTGTATTGCTCATATGTTGTACTCATATTATTTATTAATCCTTTTCTTCAAATAGATTCACATTGTTTTGCTAAATAAATTTACCTTCATCTAAACAATAGTACTGATGAAACTGTGGGTTTCATGTGCTCTCTTATTTTTTAATATTTGTGAAAATAAATGCATAACAATTATAATGAGACTTTTTAAAAGTTTGCCCACATACCACCTCATACCTCATGCTGGGAAATTTTTTTTTTTTCTTTTTTCTTTTTTTAGAGACACGATCTCACTCTGTCACCCAGGCTGGAGTGCAGTGGCACGTGATCGTAGCTCACTGCAGCCTGAGCTCAAGTGATCCTCCTTCCTCAGGCTACCAAGCAGTTGGGACTACAACTACTTGTGCAACTCACCACACCTGGCTAATTTTTCATTTTGTAGAGATGAGGTCTAACTGTGTTGCCCAGGCTGGTGTCCAACTCCTGGCTTCATGTAATCCTCCTTCCTTGGCCTCCCGAAGTGCTGAGATTACAGGTGTGAGTCACTGCACCTGGCCTCATACGGGGAAGTTGATCTCACTTAGCCTACCTGGCCTTTCTCAGGACACTGGGGCAGAGGAGGATCTTAATGAGCTGGATTCAGCTCCTCTTACCAAGATTTTTCCTCGGGCACCCAAGGCCCCTTCCTCTGGGCTGGAGACATCAACAATGCTTGTGTGGAGAATTTCTTTTTCAGAAGTCAGTGATCCCAGCATGAGGAAGCCCTCAGGCTGTCCAAAGTCACCTTAAAGAGGGTGCCAAGGAAAAACGGGCCAGAAAAACGTAGATATGATGAGACAAGTTCTCTCCACAGTGGCTGATGTATTGAAATAAACCAACAGATTTCAAAACCAGGGCAAGACTGGAAAATGTGACCTTGAATTCAGATGGTGCCAAACATGTTGTGGGGAGTTTCTCCATTTAAAGTATCAACTTGTATTTTAACCTTGAATCCCTCTTGGAGTGTGCCAGGGACTTGGAGTTCAGCCTCTGTCACATCTTGGTCACATGACTTCAGAACAGTGTAGCCTGAACAACGGCATGGTCTCATGGGCACCCTGAGTCCTTCCTGGCTCCCACTAGCCATGTGAATTTCATCGCCCTCAGCCTCAGCTTTCTCAGCTATCGAAAGAGACAACACCCAGCTCAAGGCGGGTGACAGGAGGATTTAATACAATAACATACATAGTGTTGTCAAAGCTTAATACTTTGCTATTGATTGTTGCTATTGTTATGAGTATATATACTATTTAAACCAGATTTCCCTTGGTTGGTCACTAATTTCCCAAATTGCCCTGTTTTCTAATAATTTCTTTCTTTCTTTCTTTCTTTTTTTTGAGAGGGAGTCTCACTCTGTTGCCCAGGTTGGAGTGCAGTGGCATGATCTCAGCTCACTGCAACCTCTGCCTCCTGGGTTCAAGTGATTCTCCTGCCTCAGCCTCCTGAGTAGCTGGGATTACAGGCATGAGCCACCACACCCAGCTGATTTTTGTATTTTTAATAGAGACAGGGTTTCACCATGTTGGCCAGGCTGGTCTTGAACTCCTGACCTCAAGTGATCCGCCTGCTTCGGTCTCCCAAAGTGCTGGGATTACAGGCGTGAGCCACCATGCCTGGCTTGTTTTCCAATTTCTGAGTTGGTTACCACAAAGCCACTACCTTTTGACAAACAATCTTGAAGGCCTTGAAGATGCCCTCTTGCAGCTTCAGAAAGAGAAGGCCCTACTATTCTCTGCTGTCACTCTCTTTTTTTTTTTTTGAGATGGAGTCTCGCCCTGTCACCCAGGCTGGAGTGCAGTGGTGCGATCTCGGCTCACTGCAACCTCCACCTCCCCGGTTCAAGCAGTTCCCTGCCTCAGCTTCCCAAGGAGCTGGGATTACAGGCATCTGCCACCACACCCAGCTAATTTTTGTATTTTTAGTAGAGACAGGGTTTCAACATCTTGGGCTCGAACTCCTGACCTCGTGATCCACCCGCCTCGGCCTCCCAAAGTGCTGGTGAGCCGCTGCACCTGGCCTTGCTGTCACCCTCTTAACCTGTCTCCCCATCTGTAAAATGGGGATGATGATAATTACCTTGTGGAGATCAAATATGGGAGAAGCTGCCACTCTCTTGTCCTTAATATGTCCCAGGTACTTCATTTGGTCATGAATTAATTGCTTGACCACAGTAGATACTCGACATCAGTTTTGCTGGGGTTTTGAGCATTCTTTTTTCTAAAGGGAGCAGTGTGCCCTCAATACTCTTCACTCTTAGTCCAGAATGTTTTCCCTTCACGTGCCTCTTACAAGGCATTTCTTTCCTTTTTCTGATATTTATCTCTAGAAGGCCAGAGCTTGTGAAATTGGCTCATTTTCAGATTTTTCGTTTCAGACCTCAGAATAGCATTTGGGTTTTACTCTTGCCTTTTTCTTCACTGCTTAAAAAACGATAGGTGTTTGCTATTCAAAGCTGATTAAGAGCCTGGACTTGGTCCTGGCCTGGCTTCCAGGATGCCCCTCTCCTGCTCTCTTCCCTCCCTGGCTTCTCCTCATCTTGCTGCCCTAGGTTCTCTCTGCCCATCCCCTGGATGATCTCATCCACTAATTCTCAAGGCTTTATAAACCATCTATAGGTTGACAGCTTCTCAGTTAACATCTTCAGTCTAGGTGTCGCTTCTGAGCTCCAGATATGTCAAGAAGCCATGACACCATCCAAAACAGATCTCCTCTCTCAACTTGCTCCTCCCACCGTCCTTATCTCTGTAAATGGCAACTCCACCTTTGCAGCTGCTAAGCTCAAAAACCTTGAAGTCATTTTGATCTTTTTCTTTACATCTCATATCTAATGTTTTATTAAATCTATTCTCTCACACTGCAAATAGATCCAGAAGCCAATCACTTCTCACCACCTCCACCATCCACCGTCCACTTCTGTCACCTGGGTCTGAGCCACTATCTTGGCAGGTGGCTGTAGTGGCCTCCTCACTGGGCTTGTGCTTCTGCGCTCTCCAACTCCTTCATTTGGTTTTCAACCCCAGTAGGCTGAGGGAGCCTTTTTAAATGTGTAGGATATGGTCACTTCTCTGCTCAAAGCCCTCTGACATCTCTTACAGTTCCCTGTCTCCTTTATATTAAAAGCCAGAGCCAGGCACAGTGGTATGTGCCTGTAACCCCAGCTACTAAGAAGGCTGAGTCAGGAGGAACTGCTTGAGCCAGGAGGTTCGGGACCAAGCCGGGGCCACAGCAAGACCCTGTCTCTTAAAAAAAAAAAAAAAAAAAAAAAGCCAAATATAACAAATACAAGGCCCTATAAGCCAAGCGATCTCCTCCACCACCACATCGGTGACTTCCCCCATCATGCATTCTGCTTTAACCAATTTTTCTTGCCATTTCTGGAACTCAGCAGACAACTCCCGCCTCTGCGCCTTGCTGTTCCCTCTGCAATGCTCCTCAGAGGGCTATCCACGTAGCCTGCTCTGTCACCTCCTTTAAGTCTTTGTTCACGTTATCATGTCGGTAAGGTGTCTTGACAACCCTGTTTTAAATCTGTAGCATCCCCAATACCAGCACTCCTTATCCATTATTCCTGAAAGCAGTAATTTTTAAAATCCTTTTTATTTAATGCGGAATCCCAATGCCTAGAACAGTCTAGGACACTGCACGCCGTCAGTAAATATTGGGTGAATTAATAAAAATAGCTAGAACGCCGCTGGGCTTTGTGATGTGTGCGTTACGCGCATTATCTCACCGGATGCGCACAGCCATCCTGCGAGGCAGCACCGTGGCCTTTCCTATTTCACAGATGGGGAACTGAGGCTCACAGAGGGAGCAGCCTGTGGAGACCCAGGTCTCTGGCTCCGGGGCCTGCCGCTAAGGGCTGACCTATCCCCCTCTCCCCGCAGGTCCCGGGCGAGGCGCCCGCGCCGTCCGCCGACCCGGCGCGTCCCCATGCGTGCCCCGACTGCGGCCGCGCCTTCGCGCGCCGCTCCACGCTGGCCAAGCACGCGCGCACGCACACGGGCGAACGGCCCTTCGCGTGCACCGAGTGCGGGCGGCGCTTCTCGCAGAAGTCGGCGCTGACCAAACACGGCCGCACGCACACAGGCGAGCGGCCCTACGAGTGTCCCGAGTGCGACAAGCGCTTCTCGGCCGCCTCGAACCTGCGGCAGCACCGGCGGCGGCACACGGGCGAGAAGCCGTACGCATGCGCGCACTGCGGCCGCCGCTTCGCGCAGAGCTCCAACTACGCACAGCACCTGCGCGTGCACACGGGCGAGAAGCCGTACGCATGCGCGCACTGCGGCCGCCGCTTCGCGCAGAGCTCCAACTACGCACAGCACCTGCGCGTGCACACGGGCGAGAAGCCGTACGCGTGCCCGGACTGCGGACGCGCCTTCGGCGGCAGCTCGTGCCTGGCGCGTCACCGACGCACGCACACGGGCGAGCGGCCATACGCATGCGCCGACTGCGGCACGCGCTTCGCCCAGAGCTCGGCGCTGGCCAAGCACCGGCGCGTGCACACGGGCGAGAAGCCGCACCGCTGCGCTGTGTGTGGCCGTCGCTTCGGCCACCGCTCCAACCTGGCGGAGCATGCGCGCACGCACACAGGCGAGCGGCCTTACCCCTGCGCCGAGTGCGGCCGCCGATTCCGCCTAAGCTCGCACTTCATTCGCCACCGACGCGCGCACATGCGGCGCCGCCTGTATATCTGCGCCGGCTGCGGCAGGGACTTCAAGCTGCCCCCTGGCGCCACGGCCGCCACTGCCACCGAGCGCTGCCCGGAGTGCGAGGGTAGCTGAGCCCCGCAGGGCTGCGGAGGGGCGCCCTGGGGCTTCGACCTGGCTGCACTAACCCGGGCTCCTTCTGCGCCGGCCTCCAGGTCTGGAAAATTGAGGGGACTGCAGGCCCGGCTGCCCTGGAACTGGAAGACAGGGAGAATCCCCTGCCGGGGTCCCTGGAAACAGTGCCCATCCTCCATCACTACATTCCCTTGGCCCGTGTTAGTGAATAAAGTATTATATCCTCACCCCACCCGTGCCTGTGAGTGGGGTGGGTGGGAGAGGAAGAAAGTTGGGGTTCTCCAGGCTCAGGTGCCAAGTGAGATGTCAAGGAACCAAATGGGGATGTAAACCTAAAAGGGGTTCCCGGCATCTCCGTTTGTGTTGGGGGTAGGAGGTGATCGCACACTTGGCCCTTGGTTACGTCCTCATAAACCCTAGATCTGAAAGGGCCCATAAGTATACTATGTTCATCAGACATGCACTGCATTCGGCAGAGCTCCAGTGAGCAAGGCACAACCCTCAGATCTCAGTCTAGTGAAGGAGAGAAAACTGTAACACAACATTAAAGGTTTTAACTGCTTTGTTATGTAAACTTACTTATTTTCATCCTCAAAACATCCCAGCCCAGCGCGCGGTGACTCACGCCTGTAATCCCAGCACTATTGGAAAAAAAAAAAAAGCTGGGCATGGTGACGCACACTTGTAGTCACAGCAAATAAGGAGGCTGAGGTAGGAGGATCACTTGAGCACAGGAGGTTGAAGCTGCAGTGAGCTACTACTGTGGCACTGTACTTCAGGCTGGGCGACAGAGCAAGGCTGTCTCAAAAATAAATAAAAAATTTTAAATTCCAAAGTTATAAAATTTATTTTTTCTTGTTTTCTACTGTGCAACCCATTTCAGTGCCAGCAGCCTACGGGCATAGAGGCCAGGCAATGGTTCGGGGCTACAGTTTGCTCTGGCATGGGGTACTATGAGAGGCCCAGGGAATCCGGCCCATCATAAATCCAAACCCATGCGTTGTTTTAAATTTATTTTGGGTTGGGCAAGGTGGCTCACGCCTGTAATCCCAGCACTTTGGGAGGCTGAAGCAGGCAGATCACCTGAGATCAGGAGTTCGAGACCAGCCTGGCCAACATGGTGAAACCCTGTCTCTACTAAAAATGCAAAAATTAATTGGCCTGTAATCCCAGCTACTCAGAAGGCTGAGACAGAGACTCCATCTCAAAAAAACAAAAAACAAAAACAAAAAAAATCAGCCGGGCATAGTGGCAGATGCCTGTAATCCCAGCTACTTAGGAGGCTGAGGCAGGAGAATTGCTTGAAATGGGAGGTGGAGGTTGCAGTGAGCCGAGATCACACCATTGCACTCCAGCCTGGGTGACAAGAGTGAGACTGTCTCAAAAAAATAGTAATAAAAAATAAAAATAGTAATAAAAACAAATAGTAACCAAAAAAATTTATTTATTTATGTAGAGACAGGGTCTCGCTATGGTGCCCAGCTGGTCTCCCCATCCTAGCCTCAAGCAACCCTTCCACCTCTGCCTCTTGAAGTGCTGAGATTAGGCATGAGCCACCATGGCTCACCATGGCTGAGGCAAAGGAGATGGGACCATCTTTCTGTCCATTTTTGTCACAGCCCATGAATGGCAAAGATAAGGGACAAGTAAACAGGCACTTGCAGTCCAGTGTCAACTGGTGCTATGATGGGAAGATAGGCTATTCTCAGAGGTGATGCTTAAGTTGGGTCTTGAAGGTAAAGTTGGGGTTGGGGAAGTGTGGAGAGAGCCCCTAAAGCTGCATTCCAGGGTCAGTAGAGCTTGCAGATGTTCCCTGGGGTGGAATGAGGGGACAAAAAGGTTTTGGAAGTGAAGTTAAAGTATCCAAGGTAGCAAAGCCTTGAGGGCTTAGAGGGGAAGGATGGAGCTGACATCCGTAGGGAGCTGGAACTCATAGCGGTAGACCTGGAGCTGAGGCAAAGGAGATGGGACTGACTTCATTTCTTAGCTTGGGTGACTGCAGGACAGTGTCACTGATATGGGGGTGCAGGATGAAGAGCAAGACAGGAGCTGAAGTGGGGGTAATTGTTATACCCCAGTCTGGACATGCTGAACGTTAGGTCAGCATGAGGGAGGGGACTGGCAATAACAGCTTAGAGATATCAGGTCTGGAGTCCATGACACCATGTCCATAAGAAAGCACTCAAGAAGAGTCTTGAAAGTGGTTGGGCACGGTGGCTCACGCCAGTAATCCCAGCACTTTGGGAGGCCAAGGGAGGAGGATCACTTGAGGCCAGGAGTTCAAGACCAATTTGGGCAACATGGTGAAACCCTGTCTCCACTAAAAATAAGGAAAAATAGCCAGAGGTAGGAAGAAAACCAGGTAAGCATCTTATCTGGGAAATCTAGAGGAAAGTGTTTCAGGGAGAGTAGGCGATCAGCTGCTGCTCTGGTGCCCGCTGCATTTGTCATGAGGGCGGGGAAAGTGGCGAGAGCTGATTCAGTGGAGGGGGGTGAAAACCAGCCAGGAGGCCAGGTTGTAAATGGGACAGTGGGGAAGCAGAGTGGGGGAATACAGCCAACCCTTTGAAGAGGCTGCTCGAGATTTGATGGTTTCACTTTTGTCAACAGGGAAGGTACTCATATATGCTTTCTGCACAGGAAGAAAGGGCTAATGAAGAGAAACTGATCATACAGAAGGGAAAGCAGACAACCAATTAAGGAGAGGAAGGAATCAGGGCTTGGTAAGGATGCGGATCCCATTATCACTGGAGAGCCAGAAGAAAGGCGGGTTTGGGCACATAATCTGATGTGCTGTTTTACCTGGGAAATAAGAATGGAGGTCACTGGATAAGAAACGTAAGAGAGTGAGGCCAGGAAAGGAGAATGCCTCATTTTACTGATGTGCAGACTGGCTCAGAGAGACAGCAAATCAGCGATCATTGTAGATTCTGAAAGCACGGATGTCCTTTGGTATACGTGGGGGACTATTTCCAGGACACACCCCACCGTGTTCACAAATCCACACATACTCAAGCCCCTGTCAGCCCTGCGGAACCCACGTATAGGAAAAGCTGGTCCTCCACACACATGGGTTTTGCATCCCACAAATACTGTATTATTGAACCATGTTTGGTTGAAAAAAATTCAACCAAATGTGGACTCACGCAGCTCAAACCCATGCTGTTCAAGGGTCAACTGTAGTTTAAAAGTCCTTTCCCCTGCATTAGCCTACCCTGTGACGGAGGCAGTCAGAGGTATCTCAGAAAAAAGTGATGTGCCCAAAGTCACAGAACAGGCAAATCTTACACACTCAACACTATCTTTTTTTTTTTTTTGAGACAGAGTCTTGCTCTGTCGCCCAGGCTGGAGTGCAGTGGCATGATCTTGGTTCACTGCAACCTCTCACTCCCAGGTTCAAGCAATTTTCCCTGCCTCAGCCTCTGGAGTAGCTGGGGTTACAGCCACCTACTACCACGCCCAGCTAATTTTTGTATTTTTAGTAGACATGGGGTTTCATCATGTTGGCTGGGTTGGTCTCGAACTCCTGACATCAGGTGATCCACCTGCCTCGGCCTCCCAAAGTGCTGGGATTACAGGCGTGAGCCACCGCGCTCGACCCTCAACACTATCTTTAGGTGGAGAGGAAAAACAATAAATTGGCCTTGGTGTGGCAGGGTGGGTAGCCTTTACTTCTACCAAGGAGGAAACCCTGTTTCGCCCCACATCAGAGACCTGACCCTGATTTCCTGCTCTAGGCCCCTGATAGTTGAGTTAAAAAGGCAAATAAGGCCAGGTGCGGTGATTCACGCCTATAGTCCCAGCACTTTGGGAGGCTGAGGTGAACGTATCATGAGGTCAGGAGATTGAGACCAGCCTGGCCAACATAGTGAAACCCCATTTCTACTAAAATTACAAAAATTAGCTGGATATGGTGGCATGCACCTGTAATCCCAGCTACTTGGGAGGCTGAGGCAGGAGAATTGCTGGAACCGAGAAGGTAGAGGTTGCAGTGAGCCGAGATCACGCCACTGCACTCCAGCCTGGGTGACAGAGCGAGACTCAGTTTCAACACTATATTTAAATAATAATAATAAAAAAAGGCAAATGGCTGGGCGCGGTGGCTCGGGCCTGTAATCCCAGCACTCTGGGCGGCCGAAGCGGGCAGATCACCTAAGGTCAGAAGTTCAAGACCAGCCTGGCCAACAGGGTGAAACCCCATCTCTACTAAAAATACAAAAAATTAGCCGGGCGTAGTGGCGGGCACCTGTAGTCCCAGCTACTTGGGAGGTTGAGGCAGGAGAATGGTGTGAACCCAGGAGGCGGAGCTTACAGTGAGCTGAGATCGCACCACTGCACTCCAGCCTGGGAGAAAGAGTGAGACTCCATCTCAAAAAAATAAAACAAAAAAAACTGGGCGTGATGGTGGGCGCCTGTAATCCCAGCTGCTGGGAGGCTAAGGCATGAGATTCACTTGAACTCAGGAGGCAGAGGTTGCAGAGAGCCGAGATCACACCGCTGCACTCCAGCCAGGCCAACAAAAGTGGGATTCTGTCTTTAAAAAAAAAAAAAGGAAAACAGGTAATAACAATAACCGCAAACTTACCCTTTACTATGTGCCAGGCCCCACCCTGAGCACTCACGTAACTCACTGAAACCTCACAACCCTATTGGGCAGGTACTATTCTTTTTATTTTATAGACAAGGAAGCTGAAGTGCACAAAGATTAATTTGAGTAATGTCATCCAGCTTGCAAGTGTCAAAGATGGCATCTGAACCCAGACAGCCTGGCTCCAACATCTGGACTCTTATAGCCTCCAATCTCTAAAAGGAGGGGGAAGGAACTTACATGACATCCTACTGGGAATTTGCTAAAAACCAGATCTCTCTGCCCTGCAGGCAAAAGGTAAAAACAGGGAAACACGAGAATGGGGCTCAGAGGCACCCCTGGTCCCCTCGCCATCACCTGCAGAGACAGAGAGCCTCCCTGGCCATCCAGGAAGAATCTAGAAGTTATTGCCCAAAACCATTTTACTGGGAGAGCAAATACCAGGAGGCTACCTTCTAGAGGTTGCTGGGCCTCAGACCTCAAGAAGTGGAGACCTCAGGCCCATGATCTATTTGAAAAAGACTAGAAAATGGCTCCAGGGCCGGGCCACCCTCTGCTCTTCAGACACCATCCTGAGTTGCAAGTCCTGTGGCCACCTTTCTAGGTTGAGGTCTGGCCCGTGGAGTCACAGGGAAGGTCCGCAG